TATGTTCTGTTGATATAAAGGCAAAGCCTAGTGTGGCCTATGAATAGGTTTAATCCCAACCCCATGGTGAAGACAAGGGGACCACAAGGAACCATGGCCCCCCTATGGCCCAACAAATCCCCACTCTTCATGTATATTTTCCCACTCCCCCACTCCCCACCCCAATGGTTGCTCCCCTAATGGCCATCCATATTTACTCCCCCTAACCCCCCAATCTACTTAGATTTTGGCACCCCTCATAAAAAACTCCTATCTCTGCTCCTGCCCAACCTAGACCTAACCTATTTATAGCTCTAAATTACCCCCCAATCCACGTAGATTTTAGCCCCCGTCATAAAATATTCCTAGCTCTGCCCCTACCCAAAGTAGACTTAACCTATTGATAGCCCTAAATTATTAGGCTCGGGGAGAAAGAGAAATAATTTTTTAGTAAAATAAATTATTAACTAATTTAAAATTTTAGTAAATCAAATAAATAAAAATATATGGATAATAATTTACTTAATTTTGTAAAATAAATAAATCAATTATTTATTGTAATAAAATAAATAAGTAACTATTTAACAATGTGGAAAGACAAAAAATCCAACATGAAATGTTGGGTCTATAATTTTTGGATCAGAACTGAACCGATCAGTTCTCAAGACAATCGGGTCTGTTTATAATAAATAAAAATAAATATTTATGTATAATATATGTTAAATATTCTATATATATTATATGTATAGTATATATATATAATTTATTTATTTAATATATTGTACATTATATCTATTCCAAACCGATAGTAATTGGGACCCTATATCACCCGAAATCAACCCGTTGGTTCCAGTTCCCAGAACTAGAATTGGCCCAATCGGTTCGGGTCCATTGGGTTGGACCCAACCCATTGACAACCCTACCTAAATATTGGGCTCAAGGGGAGAGAATAATTTGTTAGTAAATTATTTCTAAATAAATAAATAAATAATTTAGTAAAATAAATAAATGTCTACTAAAATCTTTCTCTTATTGTCAAATCTCCTTTATTTTACTGATTTATAAATAATTTATTTACTTTTAGTAACTAAATAAATGCTTAGATAATAATAATAAATTAAAAAAATAATTTTACAAAATAAATAAATAAATGTCCATTAAAATCTTTCTCTCAATGTCAAATCTCCTTTATTTTACTGATTTATAAATAATTGTTTTTACTTTTATTAACTAAATAAATACTTAGATAATGATAATAAATTAAATAAATATTTTAATAAAATAAATAAATAAATGCCTATTAAAATCTTTTTCTCAATGTCAAATTTCTTTTATTTTATTGATTTATAAATAATTTATTTAATTTTATTAAATAAATAAATGCTTAAATAATAATAAAAGCATAAGTGAATAAAAAAAAGTTGAGACAAAGAATAGGAGGAGAGAGAGAATTAAGAATGAGAAAAGAGGGATGACATTTTATTTTATAGGATGGCATAATCGTAATAACAATATATGGCATTGCTGTAATTTTCAAATACCGTAGAGTCATTGTTGTAAAGAGAGTAAATTTGTCTTATATGTGTCATTCCTATAATTTTTGAATTCCTTAGAGTGGTAGTCTTGTAATTTTCGAATAATATAGAGGCAATTACAAGTTGGAGGATTTGTCTTATATGTGGTAGTCATGTAATTTTCGAATAACATAGGGGCAATTACAAGTCAATCACATAAGGGGGTTTGTCTTTATGTGGCATTCTTGTAATTTATAAGGAAAAAAGGAAAAAAAATATTGTTATTCTTGCATCCTCAAGCTTTCATTTGTACACATTTCATCTTAATATATTTATATAGATGTATAATTATCTTTTAGGTGTAATATATGCAATATATGAATATTAGTTTATATTTAATTTATACTTTTTAATTCTGTTTTAATTTTGAGAGAATGACTGTTCAGCCCACCATTAGAATTCTTAGCCCAAATGTATAGTTGGGGTAGGTGCCAGCTCGAAATTCATGCCAATACACAGGCGAGTATTGGTGTTTAGGGTGGGGCTGTTTGACATTTTGAATTGTTATAGGTCAACAATGGAATTAAGAATTCTGCAGTGGGGTGCAATTGTTATAGGTCAACAAAGTTATGGCTTCCAAAAGTTTGCATATAAATGATTCAACGACCTAGGTGAGAGATTTTTTTACTAGGTCAACAATTTTCAGGGTGGGGAACATATTCCCTGTCCCCAACTCCCGATTATGAAATTAATCCGCGTCACCATTCCAGATCTCCATTGGGGAGAAAAGTTGTCCTCTATTCCCGATCCTCGACAAAGACGGGTTCCCCTTAGAGAACTAAATCCTCAAATTTTTTTTAGTTAACAATGTTTTTAGAAAATAAGTTTACTTGAAATAAATAATAATTTTAAAACATAAAATAATATTTTAAATATATTTTGATATTTATAAATAATATCATATATCACTACAACAAAATTGACCTTTGGCAACAGGCACTTCATTACATTTTCAAATAGTTGTTGCCAAAAGACAAACACTAACGACAATTCATCAACATTGTTGCTAAATCAAATGAATTGGCAACCAAAACTACCAAATTATTGCTTATTTTATCTATGACTGTTGCTAAAGCAATGAATTGGAAACAAAGCTTAAAATCATTGAAAATTGTAGTTACAAACATATTTAATACATCAACAAATGGAATAAATAACAAAAATTCATTTTAATGAGTCACGCTTGGATTAACTACAATGATTTGATTATTAGACAACCAAGTAAGTAATTAATCAAAATAGGATCAACTTATGACATCACAATTAAAATAATAATATATAGAAAAAATTTTAAAATAATATAATAAAATATAAAAAATAAAAAATAAAAAAAAACATGTAAAAATTATATTAAATATTTAAATATAATGATTGAGATGTTATAAATATAGAGAAATGCAAAAAAGGGAAGAAAACTCACTTCTTTTGGGTTTTAACCTTTTATTTCTATTTTTGGAGTTCAACTATGATAACAAATTTAACTAGTAATGAGACCTTGGGTCGAATAGGTTAGACGTGCCACATCAACATATATATATATATGGGAAAATTCCCAACGTTTGTTTGGTTTATAAGTGTTAACCGTAAATGAACCGATATCATTAACCAATCATGATCCTTGGGTCACAAATTACACACTAAAATCAACTTAAATCCTAATATTTAGAATTTGTCTAAATAAACAATTAAAATTAAAATATAAATATAAACTAAACAAAAATTAAACTTATATGTATACATGTAATTGACATGTTTGACCCAAATAATCAAACAAATGTATCATCTGATCCGATCTGATTTAATTTTTTCAAAAATTAATAATTTATTAAAATAAAAATAAATATAACAATTTAAATGAAGCAAAACAAAAAATGCAAGTATATTTCAACTATTTTCATCATTCATATACATGTTTTTTATAAAAAATAAATAATATAACAAATTTACAAAAAATTGAATATAAATAATATATTTATAAATAAATAAATAACATGACATAACATAAATATGTGTTATATATATTTATATAAATAAATAAATGACATATATATTGGATCGATTGGATAGGGGTGATTCGAATCTGATCCAATTTATAGTTGGATCCTATTTTCTATTCGATCCAATTCAAATATCTGAAGTGTGGAGGTTCGATTATGACAAAACAAGATATATTGGATCTTGGATCGAATCGGATCAATGATTCAAATCATTTGCACCCCTGGAGGGTTGGACTACTTTTTCCTCCAGGCCATGGGTCACCGGTTTGATCGTTCAGATCGGATGGGTTAAATTTTTTTAGATGTAATATATGTATATTTAATTTATATTCTTAATTCATTTTTTATCTTTTTATTTATAGAAATGCCAAAAAATGTGATTTAAGGCCAAAAAAGGTTTTGTTTCGTGAAAATAGCGGGGCAAGGCACCTAGGTATATAGATCTCAAAAAGTTACACAATAAAAAATAAAAATCATCTCAGTTAGATATCTAAGCACAAAGTAGTGTTTTCAACCTATTGTTAACTCAGTCAGTTGAACCATTCAAACCATTACATAGTCAAGATTCTAGGTCTGGTTTGAGTGAAACCCAGGTCAAAACCCATTGGCTTGGTAAAAAATTATCCAACCTAGATAGTTGGTCCATTGAATAGGTTGACCCATTTACTAGGTTGTAAGTTGCATACTAATTGTGTATACAAACTATATAGACACTGGTACGATTTGACCTGCTTGATCTAATCGGCCGAACCGGTGACCTACGACCCGAAGGCAAAAACAAGAAACCATAATCAGGGGAGGGGTGCTCACGGTTTGGTTGGGACATTTCTGGAACCAAACCGATACTATCGGTTTTTGGAAAATTGGTAGCCGGAATCGAACTAAAGCCAATCGATTAATCATCGGTTTGGTTCATCAATTTTTCGATTTTTTAATTTTTATAATATATATTATAATAATATATATAATATTATATTTTAAATAATAAATAATAAATAATATATTTATATATAGTGCATATTTATTAATTTATAATATATAAAAAATATAATATACATAAATATATATAAAATATATAATATACATAAATATATATAAAATATATGCATAACGGTCGGTTCGGTTAACCTCAACTTTCTATATTGGTTAATTGAAACCAAACCAGTACCTTTGATTTTTTAAAAACATCAAAACCGAAATTGAACCGATCGATTTGGTTAACTGATTTTTCAGTTCGGTTTCGATTGGTTCAATTTTTCAGTTTTTTTTTAACCCCTAACCATAATTAGAAACTTATTTTAGTTTCTAAGACAAGAACCCCAAATTATTTTAGTTACTAATTAAAATAATCATTACTATTTTTTATTAGCATACTAATAAATCTTAATATTTTGTTAGAAAACATAATTAGAAACTTCCCTTTTCCAACAACGAATTCGATTGTGTTTAATTTATATTTTTTCCCTCTATGATCACTTGCCAATTCCAATTCCCCCTCCCTACATATCTCTTCCGATTCTTCCTCTTCAACTTCAACTAGAACACCATGAAATAGTTCAACTTACCCTTACAAATTAATATCTCCTCTGACTCTTCGTCTTCCGCTAGAATTAGATCACTATCAGAGGATCGACTTTAATCTCTCCTCCGACTCTTTCACTCGTTTCTGGTTCATAGATTTAGGTTGTGGTGGTCAAACAAGTCATGATTTTGGTCGATTAAGACAGGGGCGTTGTGGTCGAACAAGTCAAATAGGGTGAAGACGCTGAGGTAACCAAAATTTCCATATCCGCAGAGGTTGCTGGTTTTTTATTGCATATTTAGGTTATAAATCTCTCTATTTGTCATACACATTCAAGTAATGTTTATCTTTCTCTCTCGCCCAATTTAGGATATCTCTTTCTCTCTCGCCCAATTTAATGTTTATCTTTTTTTTGTTTGTTTCAGGAAAGATCGAACCAGAGTTATCAAACATTCTGGACTTGCGCATGTTCTGCAAATCCTCTGAATGTTTATTTCAATTACAGGTAGTTGTCTCATTTATTTTTTGCTTGTCATAATGGTATTATTATTTCATTTGGTTAATCATAGCCAACTTTAACCGCCAAATGTTTAGTAGACTCTTGCATTTCATTTTCTAAAGCTGATGTACACAGGAGTAGCATTTCCAGTTATCTTAATTTCAATCTTTAAACAGATGGTGCATAGGAATTACAACTTTTTTGGTTGACTATGTTCCATTATCTAATTTTTTTTTTCAAAAGGTTGTCTTTATTTAATGTCTCTTTGACATTAAAAAAAATTAATGTCTCTTTGCACAGACACAAATGATGGGAACAATTAACTCCCAATAAAAGTATTCATAAAAAAAAACTCCCATTAAAAGTGACATAGACAAGCTTCAGGATTAACACAGACACAAATGATGGGAACAAGATCGGAAAAGGCTTGAAACAATACAGACGGGATACAAAAAAGGCACCACAAACACTTAGAAAAAGTTTCAATAAGCATGCAAATAGCTGTTCACAGCTTCTAATGGGCAAGACTTGTAAACGTCACCAAAAAGTTTTTTTATTTTTTTATTTATTTTTTTTGGGGGGGGAGGGTATAAGAATGAGGTTGAGAAATTTCCTTAGTTCTGCCAAAAGATTCATCAAACCAGGTGAATTAATTTCTTTTGATCATAAACTGCCCTACAAATTGACCTTGAGTAATGACGAATAAGAAGAATTTGTAATTAGGTAGTATGAAAATTAAATTTTCAAGACAATGTGAAATGTGAATAAACTGTTAGATCCCCACAAAATTCTATACACCATCTAATGAATATCTAATAACATATTTCATTGTAATGTATCTAACTTATTGGTTTTCTTGGGTTCTATTTGTCATGAAAATGTGATGTATGCGAGATTGAGCCACTTTGGTGTCAGGAATGCATGGTGGGAAGAAGACTGAACAAGGAAATTGGGCATTCTATTGAACAAAGTATAGAAGGTCATCAGCATTGTTTCAAAAGGCACTGAGTTATGGGCGTTAAGGCGAGGTGGGGCCAAATTGCCTTGCCTCAGTGGTCTCACATGTGTTACATGAGACTTATGCCTCAAATTTCAAGAACAGTATGCTTCATCTGGTCAACTTGAGAAAAAGTAAAAAAAAAGACATTTTAGTTGGTAGAGAACATGGTCTAAGACTAAGAGTAAAGAATACAGTGGGAGTTGGGACAACTACAAACATATAGGGTGAGAAGAAGATTATAAAAAATAGATGTTAGCATTTCTGTAGTAGCTGTCACCTCCTTTTCCTTTTATCTTTTTCTTCTTCCTACAGATCCTCTTGTTTGAGCCCTAAAGATATTGGAATTTTCTTGATTTTCTTTTATTGTAGCTTTAGGCCTAAATTGAAAGTATTTGGGTTGCAAAAGGTATATATCATGTGTGAGGTGGAAGTACCATGGTTCTTGTATGCTTTACTCATAATTTTAGTAAATGTTGTATAATTAAAAAAAGGACTAAACTCTTAGAAGGTCAAGGTATATATCATTTGATTTTTGGGTAGGCGCATTCTACTTTAATAAAGGATGTACCTCCTTCAGATTGTCTCAATCTCAACACTACTAGAAGACAAGGTGCTTTGGAAGGGAACAAGATACTCCTAGTTTTCTGTACAATTTGCTTATCAGACATTTGTTGCTATGTACAACCCTTCACCATCACTGAGAATCTGAAAGTTACAAATTCCTTACAGATTTCAAATTTTCCTATGGAAGGCCTGTTGGGGGGGGGGGTACTATGTGGACAAGAAAGGCTCTCACTCTAAGGATGTTCTTTGTGTACTATTGATGTGGACGCTTTTATTGGGAAGACATATCACTGCCGACAGCAGCAGTAAAGGGAGCAAGATTTGCTGATTCTCATCTTATCTAATTCTAGCTAGATACA